GAGGTACATACTTAGATTAGTCAAATTCATAAAGACAGATTAGAATGGTGGTTTTCCAGGGGGTGAGGAGAATGGAGACTTATTGTTAGAGTTTCAGTTTGAAATGATGAAAATGTTCTGATGGTGATGGTTGCAAAACAATGGAAATGTATTTATTGCCACTGTCTATTATTAAAAGGTTAACATGTAATTTTATGTATATTTACAGTAATTTTTTTAAGATGATAATCTTAAATGTAAGTGCTAAAACTGTAACACTTAGGGGTTTCTTTTCCAGTTAGTTAGAAGGGAGTCCATCGGTAGCTGGACATAGGTAGGCAGACTAGCAGCAGAGGCATAGACATTTGTATGTCTTCTTTGGAAAATGTATTTACAAGTCTTTGCCCATTTTTATTATTTATTTATTTGTTAACCCTCACCTGAGGATATCTGATTTTTTGAGAGAGCAGAAGGGAGGGGGAGAGACACACAGAGAGAAACATCGATGTGAGAAAGACACATCAATTGCTTGCCTCCCACATGGCCCCAAACAGGGCCAGGGATTGAGCCTGCAACTAAGGTAAGAGCCCTTGACCGGAATGGAACCCATGACCCTTCAGTCCATGGGCCGATGCTTTATCCACTGAGCCAGACTAGCTAGGGCTACTGATTCTTTAGACTGATAGGGTCATAACCATAGAAACTTTTGGTTATCAAAGAATTAATAGCACATTGATTTGTTTAAACAGATTCTCTTTTGAACTATTACATTAAGGGAGTCAGTGTTATATTTTTGGACTGTAATGATTTTTATGGCATTAGTATGAAAATATGATGAGTTAAATTGATGTGTATAATTTTCTTTTTGTATGGTTTGTGAATAAAAGCTTTACTTAGCAACATTTAGAATTTACTAGGTATAAAAAATATTTAAGGTAGACAGGCTTACCTTTTAACCTCAAGGAATTTGTAGTCTAGTCAAAGAATGGCAGGGTTTGTGGGGAAAAGGGTTGCCCTGCACAAATGCCATAAAAAGACCTAAATCAGTTTTTTGGAAGTGCAGAAGAGGGAAAATCACATCTCTTTGAGAGATAAAGGGGAAGTTTATCTTTAAAGAAATGGAGCTCCATTATGGTATATCTAATGAGAATGAAAACTGTGTTGTTACTCGAACCATTCATGTCTTAGGTATCAGTTATAAAGATGAGAAAATACAAATTGTTCTAAGAAAATAAGATATTTTCCTGTTTTAAATGCAGAGGGAAAAATCATTATTGAGGTATAACTAATTACTAGCAAGAATGAAAAAAATATTTGCTTCTCTCGAACTTCTTAGAGTTTTGAGTACTTGCTTAGGTTTTATTCCTATGTAATAAATTTATATGAATTTGGTTAATAGATCTTAGAGTGGTTCTTTTTGTTTGTTTCATTCTCAATTCTGTCAGGTTGCCCTTGGTTTTTCCAGGAGAACATTGTTTCCTTATACTTGGAAATTTCTAATTCTAGTTCAGGAGTCCTCAGAGAATAGATTTGATTTATCCTAAAGTCCTGCCAGGTAGATTACTCCAAAGTAGTAATTGCTGTAATCTCTGTGCAGTTTGTCTGAACTTCCTAATAGAAAGGGAATTAATGTTATTTAGTCCCAATACTTCTTACCTACCCATCCATGTAATTTTTTTATTAAAAATGAATTTCTCATCTGCCTGAGTTCTCTATGTGCAGCCTAAAAATGTTCTCTTCTTTTCCAGATATGGCCTCTCTGGCAGTGATGTCCTAGATAATGTAGCATATGCTCGTGGGTTCAACACAGACCACCAGACCCAGCTGCTTTATCAAGCATCAGCTATGATGGTAGAGTCTAGGTATGTGCTCAGAATATACTGAATATGCTCCAGGGGGCCTTATCCTGAATCTTACATAGGCTATTTGGCCAAATTGATAGTAGCTTGAATTAGAAATGGGAAGATTTAAGTTTTAGTTCCTATTTTGACACTCTTACTTTGTGGTTAAGTCAAGTCACTGTTAAAAAATGAAGCCATAGCCCTGGCTGGGTGGCTCAGTTGGTTAGAGCATCATTCCAATACACCAAGGTTGTGGGTTCGATCTCCAGTCGGCACAAACAAGAAGCAACCAATGAATGTATAAATCAGTGGAACAACAAATCGATGTTTCTCTTTCTCTCTCTCCCTTCCTCTCTCTAAAATAACATAAAATGAAAAGAAACCATAATCCACCTGAACTTGTTGGAATTTTATCTTGTTATATGGGACCTCAGATATGGAGGCTATACTAGTATGTCAATGAAACATCTAGATACACGAGTAACTGAATGTGAAATTTTAGCATAGTGAGAGGAAGGAGCAGAATCTGACCTAAGCTAGAAATCGGCTTCCGAGAGCCCTTGTCCGTAGGTATGCACTGCTGATTGTGGACAGTGCCACCGCCCTCTACAGGACAGACTATTCCGGTCGCGGTGAACTCTCAGCCAGGCAGATGCACTTGGCCAGGTTTCTGCGGATGCTTCTGCGACTTGCTGATGAGGTGAGTGTCAGGTGGGGACGGAGTCTACTTTCAGGGGCCACGGGTTTCAGGAGCTTTGCTGGAAGGCCAGGACACTGGGGCCTGGTATCAAGATACCAGTTAGATATGAAGAGAGACTTGAGTTATCCATTGGTTTGTGGAGAAAGGGTTGCCAGCAATAAAGTTAGTCCTTGCAGTGTCTGTGGCCACAAAAAAATGACATTTATCCTTTCTCCATCAGTTTGGTGTAGCCGTGGTAATCACCAACCAGGTGGTAGCCCAAGTGGATGGAGCAGCCATGTTTGCTGCAGATCCTAAAAAACCTATTGGCGGAAATATCATTGCTCATGCCTCAACAACCAGGTAAAGTGATAGGACAGATGGCTTCCTCCTGGAATGGCATGTTAACTATGAAGTGGACATGCAGATATAACATTTCCCTGTTAAAGCTACTATTGTGTAATTAGACAAAAGTTCTTGCTAAATCTCACTGCCATGCTTTGGTTAGTAGAGTTGTTTGCTTTTAGTTCATAAAAGAATGAAAAGCCCTCTAATATGGAGAACTGAATATGAAGAATTCATATGTCTCTTCATTAGTAAAAGAAAATAATTGTTTTTAATATGGAAAATCCACTAAGGGTGGGGGGTAGGGTGACAGGGCCCCAAGCAATACAGAAAGATTCTGAAAGTCCTTCTAAGAAGTATATACATCAAAAATAGTTTTAGTTCTATCATAAATAGGAAGAGCATTTTTTAAATTATCATAACTTTGGTGTTTTGATCTGTGTCTTTGGGTCAGACTGTACCTGAGAAAAGGAAGAGGGGAAACCAGAATCTGCAAAATCTATGACTCTCCCTGTCTGCCTGAAGCTGAAGCTATGTTTGCCATCAATGCGGATGGAGTGGGAGACGCCAAAGACTGAATCATGGGGTTTTTCCCGTGATAAACCTGAGTGCTGCAGCCTCACGGAGGAGACTGCTCCCTGGGGTTCTTCGCGGGCCTCTTCCTGTTGTGACTGCCAGAGAAGGGCATCCGGGAACACAGCTATTGTATCAGCCTTTCTGATGGAGTAAACAGGAGACAGTCAGTAGTCACAAACTGATCTGAAATGTTTGTTCCTTCTGTAGAGAATGTGCTAATCTCTATGTGGTTTCTTTGGTTGGGGGTGGGGGTGTGGAATACCTCTGACATAGTGCCTTGAGGTTGACGTGGGACTAACAGCTGGACAATCTTGTGTCTCTAAGAGAACTAAAGCTGGGAAGACCTAACTCTTCTCTCACTGTCTGAATAATGAGGAAATGTCTGAGCAACAGGTCAAAGGGGATGGGTCTCCTCACAGGTTCTTTTTCTCTGTTGTAAATCTGTCAATAAATCTGTCAATCAGACAGGTTATTAAGTTTGTGTGCCCGAATTATCGTAAGGAAGAATTTGTTTTTATTTAAGGAGTACTGAGCAGATCTGTCGGGTCACTAGCCCTTCACCATCTACTTGCTTGGGTTTTTGGGCTTGTGTTTTTTTTACTGCTAAGAGCAACTCAAGATAATTCTGGAATCTTGAGCATTTCAGAGGCTTATGTAAGTAGATTCAGTGTGGGGTTGCTAGTAAGGTAGTTATTTGTAGTGACTGCTGTTTATAGGAGTTATTCTGATGTAAACTAAGTATTTCAAGATAGGGCCTTTATGTCTTTTTTGCACTGGGTAGGGGTGATCAGTTGCTATTGCTTTAAAATTTAAAAGGGAAGTTCTGTATTCAGATAATTGAGCTTATTGTCTTCACCATAATAGACTATTACAAGATGGATAGGCCATGGCTGCCCTATGGCCTTTGTTTTTGTTCTGTTAGTCTGTGTTGTGGAGGTCTGATGCTTCCCTGGTTATTCTACTTCAGGGATTCGAGATACTCTTCTTCCCCTTCAAACTTCCACTCAGGACTCGGTTTGACCAGACCTTTTCTTTTCAAAGGACCTCGCAGCTGGTATTGGGAGGAAAGGCAGTGAAAACCTCTGCTGGTGCCTGTGTTGATCCTGCTATATATAGGGAGATACAATCTAATGCAGCTTTGTTTTAAAAGCAGTTCTGTTCCCTGGCTTTTAAGAATGGAGGCCTTCTTTTACCAAAAAAAAAAAACCCAAACCTGGGGTGGTATAATAAAGCCACCGTGACAGAATGTGGAATGAGAGCTTGATCCTTGTATAAAAGCATCTCAGTCTTTTAGGACCTGTACAGTAAGTAAATGCCTCTGACCTAGAAATTTGTCTCCATTTTTCTTGTAGGTGGCATTAGGCTTTGTGCTGCTGGCTCTGAGGAAACATGAATGTGTCAGGGAACACCTGCTCAGTAGGAATAGGCCTTGTTAAGCTAAAAATCAGCTCACTCTCTGCGTTTCAGAAGTAACTAGGATTCTCACGGAAACAGCACTAACCAGAGCATATTCTAAACTCTTCGGTGCTATTTTTCTACTTGTCTGCAACAGAACTAATAGCAAACATAGGGGAACATAATCACTTCTAATCAAATTTAGTTTATTATTTTTAAGTTGGTACCAAAATATATTCCAGGCAACTCCTCAAATCATCGTTGCAGAGTCTCATAAGCCTTACGCACTGCTGTTCAAAAAGCAGCAAAGACTAGAAGTCAAGTGTCCAGCCCCTCAGCCCAACAATACAGTTAGAATCCACATGATGGGTGAGAAGAGGGCAGTCCCATGGACAGCCCTGACCCTTCCCTGTGGGGTGTGATTTATAATTTGGGATTGAATAATCAGTGGACAGATTAGAGAGTACAAGTTCTCTGTTTGGTTTCTATGACTCTTTGCAGTTCCTTCATCTTACCAGCAGTTAGAAGGCTGCCTTCAGTTCTCTGTCCACACTCAGCCCTAGGATAGGTCTTGATTTTTTCAAGAATTAATTTAAGGGAGAATACAACAGATACCCAGGCCTCAGGTGCATCCCCAATTTCAGATTAATTAAAGAATTAACCAGTGGAATGGTAGGTAGCAGGGACTGGTTAGACCAGGATTCAGGATACTCCCTTAACCAGGCTTGCTCAGTTTCCTGATCTAAGCAAGGTCTAAGGGGGACATAAAAGACTTGATTCTCATCCCCCTTAAGTAGTGGAATTCCTCAAGTCATGAAGGCCACTGAAATGTGGTTAGTGTCCTAAGATGACTTCCAATTCTTCCAGGTCCTTCTGGAAAGCTGAATCCTAGGGAGACAAGAGAACAATACTGGGACCCAAAATCTAAGCCAACATTTCCCAAACCACTGGTACCCAGAAGGGCCCTTGGCTTCTTTTCTGAGCTCTGTTATCATAGCACCTACAAGCAGAAGTGGAGGCTCTTTTCTAGGAAAGTAAGATTTCAAGGGAAGATTTTTTTCTTGAAAAGGTCCAGGGATGACTCAGTGATGAAACCCAAGGTTAGAAAAGCTCTTAAAAGCATTACCTCACTAGTGACATCTGGCAGCTCCATGGCCAGCTTCACCCACTGTCTAGCTTCAGAGTTTTTCCCTAGTTCTCTGTAGCACTGAGAAGAGACAACAGTGAAAACGTGAGAGAAATTCCACCAGGAGACTGGAAGGGGATAAGTAGGTGTGTTTTCAGGAGTTTCCAGAATATTATCAACACATACTTTTCATCTGTGTTAAAATAAGATAGGTGAGTTTACCTTGGAAATATACACCCGTCCTGCTTTGGAAAATCCTGGCTGTAGTTCTTCAGCCTGGAGGAGGAAGGAAGGCATTGCAGTAAGTGTTCCCAAAGTCAGGTCAAGCTCTGAGTATATTAGAGATTTCAGCCCCTCCCTGGAGTCTGTTAGTGGGTCTGGGAATGTATATTTTTTTATAAGCTCTCCAGGTGGATCTGATTTTCCCATAGAACAGGCAAACAGAAGTGGCCCCTACCAGAAACCCAGTATAATGTCCTTAGGAAAAACAAGGTCACCCAGGCAGCTTTGGTTGCTGTCCACCCCCTCCCTTCCTCCCCTGATACCTTCAGGAAGCTCTGCAGGGCATCTTCCACAGTAGCACTGGGAGGGCTTTCAAATAAGGCTGCAGCCGTTTTTTTTTCTAGCCAGCTCAGGTGAGCAACCTGCCACCAAGAGATCAAGGTGTGAATAAAGTTTTAACAAGAATTTTCAGAATATTGCATATTCTGTACTGAAAACAAACAGGGTCCAATTACAGTCACATGACCATTCAGAGGACATGGCACTTGAGCCAGGCTGAGGCCCAGCTCCCAATTTTTCACTGTAAGGAGATCAGTGTCACAGGACAGGGAGATCCTTCTATAAAGGCCTGGAATTTAGCTCACCTGGTAGCACCACCTGCCGAGGAGAAAGTGAGCCATGGGGTTTTCTGGCTGGAGAGCAAGAGCTTTGTCCACGTGCTCCTGAGGGGGAGATGTAAATATAAACCTCAGACACCGGCAATGATAAGGGAAGAGGGGCAGGTCACAGGCAGCAGGGACACTGCAAGGAGCTAGGATGAGCAGGGAACACGGACAGCACAAGTGAAAGAGAAGCCTCTCCTCACCTTGAAGCTAAAGCCACTCTGGATGCGCTTCTGGATGCCCTCGTGCTCAGCCAGCTGACCACAAAGCACTGCATACCTAAGGGGGGAGCAGCAGCAAGCTCAGAGGCAGGGAGGGGCTGCCCGAGACCCTGCACCCTCCACTAGAGCGGAAACTCATTTCTGTCTGTATGTAGTTCCGCTTCATAGACCTGTGGCCCCAATTCATATTCTTTCATAAACAGAATGTTAGGCTCTCCAAAGTATACATAGTAGGTACAAAAAGGCTGGGTCTCATACTTAATGTTTAGGCAAGGTCTTGGTCCAAATCTCCAACAAAGTTCTCTTCATCATGAGTACAGCCATAGGTATTATAAAAACTTAAAAAGCAGTTCTCTACTCATGAGCATCAAGGATACTAGACGGGAGTACATTCCTTTTTGTCTCATGCCTTGGAAGTACACAGGTTACCATCAGTAAACTGCTCTAGGGCCGTCAGACTGGGTGAGGTGCTCTAGGAATTCCTGTGTTAACTTGGAAACCAACAGAAGCAGAGGAAAATGCCTCTGATTTCAGCCTTCACATTCTCCCAGGGAGCAAAGCCAGCCAGCTTTCCGTCTTCTGTCTTCAAAAACAAAGGCCTCATTACCCCACTTCTCCAGCATTGTTTCCAGAGCACAGTTGACATTAAATAAGTGTCTAAAGGCCCAAGTTGCTTTTTCATATATTCACTAAATATCAGACATTTCCAGAGGCTTATTTCCATGTTTAGTCAAAACAGCTGTTCCCCAAGATAGGAAAACATGAAGCCAATTTCCATTCTTGGGAGCCACAGGGAATCAGCACCCATGACCCCCTAGAAACAGTGATGACCTGGCCTCTGAGATAAAGCTGAAACTTTACCTCAGCTACAGGTAGAGAAACAGCTTCTCAGCTCACAGTCTGAGGACAGAGCTACAGAAAGCAAGAGGGGAGGTAGGAAAGGAACATTTTCAGTAATACTCAGAGGTGCTGGAACCAGGCCCCAGGACACAAGTTGGAACTTTGCCTCACATGAGACCACAAACGGCTATATTTGAGAGCTAAATACTGACTACTGAACTTCTGGAGGTAAACTCACATCCACTTTTCCTCATGCGAGCCAAGCAAAGAAGCGAAAGCCCACCACCAGCGAGGGATAGCAGCTAGGGGGAAGAGGAGGTTGTGCAGGAGATGGAGCAGAAAATTGTCCCAGCCTCCATGGGGAGCCCAGAACCCACAAGTCTTATAACTAGGGTTACTTACAAAGCTGCTCAATTCTTCAAGCCCTAAGGGGGTTGTGGGGGGGGGAGAGTACTCTCCCCTGCCTCATCCTGAAGGCACCTGCCAAAGAGAAATTCCCTGGGCCCCCAGCTGGGGGTGGGGTGGGGCATATGGAAGTACAGGCCAGAGCGCCCTCTTCTGGTTCTTGTAGCAAATGCCTCTGTGGCCAGGACAGGGACAATAGAGCTCCGCCCCCTCCGCTCCTCGCTCCTCTCTAACCCACGCTGGCTCCTCATGGGATCCCGCAGGGTGTTATTACCATTGGTGGCAGTCAGCACTCTCATCCCCCTTCTCCAGAGCGGCCTCCGCCTCTTCTTTGCCTGTAGGACAGAGGATCCAGAGTAGATGAGGGCTCCCATGCACGCTGCCCAAGGCGGGGCTGCTGGACGGAAGGCTGCTCCAGCTCTCAGCAATGCCTATCCGGCCTGGACTTGCTCAGAAATAGTTGTGAACTTGAACAGAATGAAAAGCTGCAAGTAGCTGTTCAGGGATGACTGCCACTTCACCTCACCTTCCCGATTTCTGTCGTCGGCTGTCCCAGCAAACTTGTTTTCACAATAAATTCCCACTGATGTGCTTGCAGCACTTCAAATATAAAAGGACCCAAAGTCAATCTGAACCTGCCGGACAAGCCTGAGCCTGGAGGGTTTTATTTGGGGTAATAGGCTTCAGGGCATCCATGAATCCCTCTGAAGTTGTATAAAATTTTAGGTATCTGTGCATTTTATTGAGAAGGTCCACAGCTTTGATAAAATTCTCAAAAGGATCCATGATCCAAAAACATGAATCACAGCTCTAGGCCAAAATTCACCAAACCAAAATGGACTGACGTATGACCAGAGGCGACTTTCACTTATTTAGTCTTAAGTTTCCAAGGCACAAGACTAACAAAGAGATTGAGGTCTAATTGTCACAAGGGTCCCCTGAAGTGACAAGAAGTCTAGAGCCTCAGATGAGGAACATCATGCCCACACAGTGGAGAAAGTGGCACCCTGCAAAAGGGGACTTCTTTCATTAAAATGGAGAGGGCCCTAACCGGTTTAGCTCAGTGGATAGAGCATCAGCCTGCGGACTGAAAGGTCCCAGGTTCGATTCTGGCCAAGGACATGTACCTTGGTTGCAGGCACATCCCCAGTAGGAGGTGTGCAAGAGGCAGCTGATGGATGTTTCTCTCTCATCGATGTTTCTAACTATCCCTCTCTCTTCCTCTCTGTAAGAAATCAATAAAATATATTTTAAAAAAACAGAGAGGGCTGGGAAGGGAACATGGAGAAAGTAAACTAATGACTGAGGTGGTAGGCTGGCTATCTGAGATGTTTCTTCCTCCTTAAGTGACAGCAATGATGGTATGTTGGATTTGCAACAAATACAATTTTAAGGTAGCTTATCCCTTTCCAACAGAAGAACAGTGCCCCCACCAAAGAGGGACATTGTCTCTTGAGGGATTTCCTCTGCCCGCTTCAAAGCACTGTCTTACTAGGAAATAATAGTGAAAAATGAGAACTAGTTCCTGCCAGGTTAGACATAGGGGTGAACAGATATTGCCTGAGATCCCAACGAATGGCTGCCTCCTGGTGGTCCAGCTTCTAGAGCCAGAACAAACTGAAGAACTTCAGACCCAGCAAGGATGGTCCTAAAAAGCTGGAGTCCCAGGGCAGCGCCTTCCAAGATGCTACCTAGCCATCTGACCTCCAGCAGGAACAGACTCGTCCAGGATGCTAACCTCAGGAAACCAGGCCGGTGCTGGTGTGGGTGCGCCTATGAAGAGCTAAACAATGACCAAAGGGAAAGGAAAGGTTCTTGTTGATATCAAACGCTCATCAGAATCCTCACCTAAAATTTATATGGGAAAGCCGGACATTTTAAAAAATATATATCGTATTGATTTTTTACAGAGAGGAAGGGAGAGGGAGAAACATCAATCAGCTGCCTCCTGCACACCTTCTGCTGGGGATATGCCCGCAACCAAGGTACATGCCCTTGACCGGAATCGAACCTGGGACCCTTCAGTCCACAGGCCGACACTCTAGCCACTGAGCAAAACCAGTTAGGGCAGCAGGACATTTTTTAAATAAAGAAGCAAACAATAATTAAGCACCTTTTGTTAAAATTCCCAGGGGTTTTTCTGAAGGTGTATAACAATGAACAATTGATTCAATTGGGCTGTTTTTTGTTTATTTGTTAACCTTACCCAAGGATATTTTTTTCCATTGATTTCTAGAGTGGAAGGGGGAGAGGGAGGGGGGGCAGAGAGTGAGAAAGAAACACTGATGTGAGAGAGACGCATCAACAGGCTGCCTTCCGCATGTACCCCAACTGGGGCCTGGGATGGAACCGTGACTCCTCGGGGTGAGGGCTGATGTTCCAGCCATTGAGCAACACTGGCCAGGGCTGGCCTGTTCTTTTTATATCAACTTCCTAAACGAATGTTTAGAACACTTTGGGTATTATCAAGATTCTACATTATCAAAGATTCAATAACATTTGCAAGGCTGTATTTATAAAAGTGGGAAAATAGACAAATCCATTCTACATAATAAAGAGCTAATATGCTAATTAGACCAGTGGGCAAGGGGCAGGGTCAGCAAGTCATGGCAGTCCCGGCGTGCCCCCTCTCTTCCCCTTCTGCAGAGGCAGCTGCAGGGGAGCGGGCCTAAGCCACAGTTGGACATCCCCCAAGGGCTCCCAGGCTGCTAGAGGGATATCTGACTGCCAGCTTAGGCCCAATCCCCCAGGGAGCGGGCCTAAGCTGGCAGGTGGACATCCCCCGAGGGATCCCAGACTGCAAGAGGACGCAGGGTAGCTCAGGGCCCCCCTGGATGCATTAATTTTTTATAACTAAACCACAAGACCTGGAAGCCCACTGATGGTGCATGACTCAGGTGTGTACAGAGGCAGGACACATCACCATCCCTATGAAACCAGTTGTTTTTTGAGAGGGAGAGAGAAAGAGAGAAACACCAATCGGCTGCCTTCCGTACATGCCCCGACCGACCAGGAATCGAAGCCACAACCCAGGCATGTGCCCTCAATGGGAATCGAACCAACAACCTCTTAGTGCATGGGACGACACTCCAACCAACTGAGCCACTCTGGTTGGGCCAGTTCCTTTTTTTTATTGTTAATCCTCAACCGAGGTTGATTTTTCCCCATTATTTTTAGAGAGTGAAAGGGAAGAGGAAAGATAGAGAAAGAAGACATCAATTGGTTGCCTCCAGGGTTCAAACCTGCAACCAAGGCACATGCCCTTGACCGGAATCAAAACCAGGACCTTTCGGTCCACAGGTCGACTCTAACCACTGACCCAAACCGGCTAGTGCTGGGCCAGTCGCTTTTTTAAAGTCCCAGGATTCTCAGTGATAGAGAGGGACGAACCCTGGGCCACATACACCCCAGAGCACAGATTTGGCAATAGATTTGCTAAATAGATCCCAGGGACTTCTAACCTGGCAGTATTCTCCCAAACTGCTACTCACAGGTGCTCACCAAATATCCTCCACTCATATTCTTAGAACTGCCTCACACTCCATAACTGAAACCAGATTCCTAAATTGCAGCAAATAACCTCTTCAGATTAAGAAAGAAGATTCTGCCCTCCTTTGTGTTTGGGGAGAAAAAGGATTGGGCTGAAAGGATACTAGTACTCCTCAAAACGTGCACTGGTGATGTGCTCAGGTCACAGCCACGTGCGGAGCACTGTTCTCTGTGTCAGGAAGCAGGGGATCCTGGGAGCCCAAGTTTGTTCCTAGTGAGTGACTGAGCCACAACTGCCCTGACAGCTGCATCTTGGTGGTTCCTCTGGACCCCAGGCAGGTGGGCTGGCTCCACCCCACCGTCAGTCACCTTCCCACCAGGAACCTGTCAGCACTTACCATTTTGAGCATATGACTTCTTCTCGCTCACCTCCTCCGCGAGCTCACACATGTCGCTGTAGGCCCGGGCCAGGCGCCAGAGAAAGTCCTGCCGACTTCCGTACTACAGACCAAACAGAGAGGGATGGAGGCCCTTCTTCCCTCGGAGAACTGGGGCTCTGGCCTTCCCACACCCTACGCTGGAGCTTGCACGTTAGTGTGTTAGATGCCGACTGACATTACATCGGTTTTCTGCATGGCCCTCCACCCCCATATGACCTCCCTTTTCTCGGGCTAACTTTGGGGCATTTTCCCTCGAGTGAGCATCAGTTCTGCAGTGAACCTGAGGGAAAGGGGATTGCCGTTGAAATCCCTGGTATTGGAACCTTCAAGTGCGATAGGCAGCTTGGGCTCTGCCTCAAGGGAAATAAAAGGACATTCCAGTTCTCTTCACATCTCCCTCTACTGAGGGGTGGAGCTCTTGCCCTAAAAATAGGAGGCAGAGACCTGCCCTCAGGAGGAAGCTCTGGAGCAGGCATAAACCTAGGCGCCTAGGCCGCATGTAGCCCCTTGGAAGAGGAGGTGCAGCCCTGGCGGGGGGTGGAGGGTTGAGGGGGGGAAGGTGCGGCACCAGCCATCTCACCCCCATTTTCCTCCCCATGTCACCTTGCAGGGTCAGTAACCACAGGGCCTGCTCTCATTCCCTAGGAGTCCGCAGGGAGGGAGGGAGTGGGGGGACAGGCAGCGGCTGGAGCCTCACCGCGAGCTTGTTGTTGAGCAGCAGCTGGAAGCCCTCCCGCTTGTGCTGCTCTCCGCCCCGGTGCAGCTGGTCAGCCTGCAGCAGGAGGGGCAGCACGTCCTCCAGGCCAGGGGAGCCGTCAGCCTCCAGGGCTCTGGGAACTGGGCCTGAAGCCACCGCTGCCTCCAGGTCCAGAGAATCCTTTCTCCCCATCTTCACGGTCTCACAGCTCACATCTTCCCCGTCGTCACTCTCCCTGTCGGACTCCCGCTCATAATCAGACTCGGCATTAGCTGTTGTGTAACTGTGGCAGAGAATGTGAGTTACAGTCAAAGGAGGGGACCATCCGCCTTAGAGCCCGGGGTCTGTCCCTTACCCACAAAGAGGCTCTCCATGACACTGTCCAGAAAACCAAAGAACCATCCCCCACTTCCTTAGAGGTCTAGGCAAAAACTAGTCCTCGCAAGAAAGCTCCTGTGGGGACTGGGCGGGAAAATGGTTTGGGAGAAGAGTGACAGCTCTGGGGGCACTGTGACAGGGGCCATTAGAACCCCCAGCTCAGCTACTATCCAGTCTGCCAGGAAACAGAAAAACAAAATGCCCAGAAAGGTCTGTACCAACTGTTGCCAGTCGAGTTAAAAGGACATTTTGCCCTGTCTGGGTGGCTTAGATATTTGGAGCTTCATCCACTGGAGGCAATCAATGTATGTTTTTCTCTCTCCTCCTTCCTCTCTCTCTCTCTCATTCCAAAAAAAATCAATAAAAACATCCTTGGAGCCCTGGCCCGTGTGGCTAAGTGGTAGAGTGTGGGCCCAAGCCCTGAAGGGTCAAGGGTTTGATTCCCTGTCAAGGGCACATACCTGGGTTGTGGGTCAATCCCAGGACCTAGTCAGGGACCGTGCAGGAGGCAACCAATCGATGTGTCTGTCTTTCACATCAATGTTTCTCACTCTCTCCCGCCCGCCCGTCCTCCCTTTCTCCATCCCTCCCCGCTTCCACTCTCTAAAAAAAAAAGGAAAAAATATCCTCAGTTGAGGATTCTCTCTCTCTCTCTCTCTCACACACACACACACACCACATATCCTCAGGTGAGGAGGTGAGGATTTTAACAAATTTTTAAGGAAATTATTTTTCTATCTTTTGTTTTTTGCTGCCTCCTGCACGCCCCTTACTGGGGATCAAGCCCACAACCTGGGCATGTGCCTTTGACCAAAATTGAACCTGGGACCCTTCAGTCCGCAGGTAGTATGATTGCTTTAATGAGCATATGCAAGGTATCCCAAAACATGTATACACAATTTAACAGCTGATAACTCACTTAATTTTCACTCCTTTTTAGGTTTAACTGATTTGAAATAATGGATGAAGCCAATTTAAGCTTTGAATAAAGAAAATTTATCCACTAGACTTTTTTATGGGGATACATTAAGTTTACAGTACAAATCCGGCAACAGTTGATGAATTGAGGGCACACAAATACCAAACAAAATGATTCCTTCTTTTTTTATTTGTTTTGTTTTGTTAATATTCACCCAGGCATGTTCTTCCATGGACTTTTAGAGAGAGTGGAAGGGAGAGGGAGAGACAGAGAAACATCAGTGTGAGAGAGATACATCGATTGGTTGTCTCCCACACAGGCCCCAAGCTGGGGCTGGGGATCAAGCCTGCAACCCAGATACATGCCCTTGACCTGGAATCAAACCCTCGACCCTCTGGTGTGTGGGCCAGTGCTCTAACCACAGAGCCACACTACATTCTTATAAATAAAAAATAAATGAATGTTTAAGATTAAAACTTTAGCCCTGGCCGGGTAGCTCATTTGGTTAGAGTGTTGTACAAGTACACCGAAGTTATGGGTTCAATCCCCAGTCAGGGCACATACAAGAATCAACCAAATGAATGCATAAATAAGTGGAACAACAAATTGATCTTTCTCTCTCTCTCAAATCAAATAAATAATTTTTTAAATAAAAACTTTCATGTAGGTGGAGCTGATCTCCTGAGCTAGATGGCGCACCAGGCTCAGGGTTTGTCGATCTTTTTTGCTTTATCAGCCAAAGGCATCTGTCAGAACCAGCATGGGCGGGTGCCAGCCTCTGAGGCATGAGCAGCCACAGATATCCACATTTTCTCTCTCGATTCAATGTGTGCCTCTATCCAAGCCAGCCAGCAACCTAAACCACAACAGGAATAGCCCTTGGAAACCTTTGCAATTGCTAGAGGTGGGGTGAGGGCCATTTGCAGGTAGAAGCAGGAGAGAAGGAAGATGCAAGCAGAACCCCCTGGGAAGGTATCTCTGGGCCACCATAAGCCCGGGAGCCCCAACCTCGATTCCCCAGGTTTCTCTCAGATGTTGGCCTGTTCCCGCAGCTGACTAGGGTGTTCCCTAACCGCCGACTGAATCAGACAGAAACGGCAGGGGAGAAGGTAAGGCTTCCAGGGGCCAGAATCAGACACCAGAGAGGCCTCTGGACGGAGTGGAAGGAAAAGCAGGTTTGACCAGCCACAAGGCTCTGAAGCACAGGGAGGACCTTCAGGTGGTAACCTCCCTCCATCCTGGAATGAAAGGTCCCTGTTGCTGGAGCAAAACAACTGCAGGAGAGATGTGGGCTGAACGCTGGAGGCCAGGAAGCCGGACGTGGTAAGGAGGCAGGTTCCATCCAGAAAGCACAGGTGAGCAATCCATGCCGACTGCTTCTAGAGGAGCTTCCAGAATCCGCTAACAAAGGGGCCCTCGTAACATCTGCCATAGGAACTGACAACTTCACCCTGCTTTTTAAGAACTTACCAAACATCTTTCTCTTCTAGCAATTTGCAGTAAAAACTTGAGAAATTAGCCGAAATCGGTTTGGCTCAGTGGATAGAGAGTCGGCTTGCGGACTGAAAGCTCCCAGGTTCGATTCCGGTCAGGGGCATGTACCTTGGTTGTGGGCACATCCCCAGTGGGGAGTGTGCAGGAGGCAGCTGGTCGATGTTTCTCTCTCATCGATGTTTCTAACTCTCTATCTCTTTCCTTTCCTCTCTGTAAAAACTCAATAAAAAAAAAATATTTAAAAAAAGTTGAGAAATTAAAGGGACAAGGCAAAGTGGCACCAGATTTCACAATCAACCTGAGTGGTGACGAGTGAGGCTGCACAGGGGCCTCCTGGAGAAACCCAGCAATTCATGGGGCCTGGACAATAGCCTCCCCGACGCAGCCCGGCCAGGCCCAATGGCAAATGGGTGAGTGGTTATCTAGGGGAGAACTTGAGTCTCATCAACTCCAGTTGCTAGAAAGAAGGGGAGACCCCATTCCCTGCTGGATTGAAGGCTGTCTTGGCCAATCAGGAGTCTCCCAGGAGGGACCCCTGCTCTTATGCTAGAGCACAGGCATCAACAGTCTCCAGGGAGCTGAGCCAGGAGGGAAAGTCCTACAGTTTGTGATCCCTCGGGGTCCTAAAGGCTACGGAGAAAGAGAGGTCAGGAGGGGCCTTTGCCACCACAGAGAGGTGGTGGGGCAGGAGGCTCCCGCAAGGCTGGCACAGAGAGGCCTTTTACTGCACCTCAGCCCCACTTTGAGCAGCTCTGCCTCACTAATCTGCAGGCCTGCTGCCGGGCACCCAGTGGGCAGGCAGACACTTGCTGAGTGAGCACTGACCTCGCCCCATGGGCTCCCAGGATTTGAGAGGGATCACGTGCCAGAGCTACATGGGCTGCCGTCCCTAGTCACATGCTCTCACGCCCCTTGGACCACCATCCCAACCCTTGCAGAAATCCACGAGAGAGAGGGGGTGGCCCTCTTGTTGAATATGCCAGGGAGCTTTGAGGTCAGCAAGGGACTGGCAGAGACCTCTGGAAAGGCCACTGGGATCTCTACACTCAGGCAGAACACTGTTCCCACAGTGGGCCGAGAATCCAAGGCTCCCTGGGAGCAGGGAGCCCAGAGCTAGCCTACTCCTTGAGTGATCAAGGACTGTTACACATGTCTTCCTCCTGGCAATTAAGTTCTTTGCTTGAACTCCTAAGCCCCATGAGAGGGCTGAGCTGGAGCATTCAAAGACAAGCAGGTGTGGACTCTGCCCCTGGGACCTCCCAGTGGAGTGAGAGAGCACCAGCCTAGATGAGGTGGTAAATGCCAAAGGAGATGAGATGGAAGGCAGTCCCTCTGGGCTGGGATGCCGAAGGCTTGCTGGAGGGCTGGTGTTTCAGGGCGAGTCTGGTTTTTCCAGGGAGGGAACTAAAGCTGTGTTTGCTCCAAGGCTCAGGGAACAAGCCCACGGACCCACAGTGACTCTGCCTCGGCCACATTCAGTCAGTCCTCTGGGGACACGAAGTTACTAACTTATTTGGGGAATGAAAGGTCCTGCAGCTTCCAGGGGACTGGAGTAGCCCATCAGATATTCTTATCCTTTCATCCCTCAAACAGGCACTCCTTGCCCCAGACCCACATGTTCAAAGTCATTCCAGAGTTTGAGGTCTCCCATAACTTCCCCTTGACCTATATGGCAGTGACCGTGGCAAAATAATTATTCACTATGGCCACTGCCCCAGATGGCAGCCAGCTAAACCAGAGTCTTGCTTCACACACCCCATTCGCTTCCACACGTCACACGATCAGTCGTGGGGCTGAGCCACTGGAGCTATAATTAAGAAAGCCACCCTTCCTCTCATCCCATCACAGGCGGCTGGAAGGCCTGTCCTGTCCTGCCCCTTATGGGGGCCCCAGTGAGCACCCACAAGCTTCCCTGGTTAAGCAGAAGTTTGCTGAACTCCTTAGAAATCATCAAAGGCCTGAGTTCTCCACCCTGATCTTGGGCAGATCTGTGACCTCTCCTGTTCTACCTCTGACAAAGCTCAACATCAGTTCCCCACCCACGTGACCTGCTTCCGTGGGTGCATGAAGATGGTCCATTAGCACCCACTCTGTCCTTCCAATCCAGATGTTCCTTTATGTCAAAGAGCCCCTTTCTGGCCCTCCTCTAACAGCCCAGCGGAAGCTCTCAGCCCAGTTATTAGGTAAACTGAACATAGACAAGAGATCAGACAACCCAGGCATCAGTAGCCATGAGGACTAAAGTTCTACTAAGACTTGCTTCTTTCTTTTATTTTATTAATTTTTAGAGAGAGGAAGGCGGGGGGAGACACCCATGTGAAACAGAAACATAGATCAGTTGCCTTCCCCAGGTGCCCTGACCTGGGATCGAACTTACAACCTGGTTATGTGCCCTGACCGGAAGCAAAGCCGCCTTTTGGTGTATGGGACAATGCTCCAACCAACTAAGCCACACCGGCCAGGGAAAGACTTCACTTGTTTCAAAAGGCATCTGAGAAATAATCAAATCCAGCACCAGTGCCCAATGGCAGTGACGTGGAAAAAGGGAGTAATACTATTCTTAATTTTCTTAGAAAGCCGAAGAGTAGAGGCAGGAGAATGGCCCAAACAACGCTGAAATCTCTCGAATGAGATGTACTGAACACCCTGTACTGTGGGCAGTGAGCTGTGGCAGTTCTTAGTCCTGGGAGGAGCTCCCAGGCTGCATGGGACCCGTCTTCCTGTGAAGGCCCTTCTGTACCCTGACGACCAAGCCGTACCTCAGGTCACAGACCCTCACACCTCTGCAGATGAGCCAGCTAACCCTGGACCTGGCAGTTGTACAACCCTGGGCAAGGCATCACGCCTTGCTAAGCCTCAAGTCTGCTCTGAGAAACAGAGCATCTAACCCCATAGGATTCTTGTGAGGATTAAGTCAGAAAATACCTCCAAAGTGTTTAGTACCATGCCTGTCACAGAGAACGAATAACCAGTAGTTAATACTATAATGTGTGTCAGCTAAAGAGAGTGCTGCAAAGTCCCCCTGAATGGCCTGTTTATAGCTGAATCCGACATCCTGACCCAAGAGAAGGCTTGGGTATCCTCTGCGCCAATCTTTTTCTCGAGGAGGAAGAGGGGTCAGCCTCTAGACCTCGCGCACACTACCTGGATCGCTGGAGCTGGGCAGCAAACAAGGGCCGACGCTGCCAGGACAGCATCAAGTATTACAACAAAGGTGCTCACCCAGACTTCTTGCTTGGGACCAAAGTTTCAAAATGGCACTAGTGGTTTCAAATCAAAAGCTTCAGCCTGACCGACTTTGGAGGCTGCCCACGAGATTCCTGCCTGCCGCCCCATCTCACGGCCAGGCCTGCGGTCAGACTCGCTGGGCCACCAATTACTCGGACAGTCACCTCCCACCTTAAAGCTGACAAGGAAGCCAGCCTCTCCTGTGGGAAGGGGAGCGTATCCAGGGGAAGGGGCGCACACTCAGGGAAGGAAGCAAAGTTCTTGTGATAACACAGGAAAATGCTCCATTCGTGTTGCTAAATGGCTAGAGCAGTGGCCTGTGCACCAAAGGGTCATGGGAAGGGTTTCGGGTTTGATTCCAGTCAAGTGCACATAATGGGTTGCAGGTTTGGCCCCGGTCAGGGTGTGTGCGAGGCAGCGGGTCCACGTGTGTCTCTCACACTGATGTTTCTCTTCCTCCCTCTCTCCCTTCTACTCTCTCTGAAAAGCAATGGAAAAATATCCTCGGGTGAGGATTAATAAAACAAAAGTTGGTAATGTTATAGAGAAAAATATCAATAAAAAACAAACCTACTCAGAGGAAAATAACAGATGCAAGCAATAACCATGGTTAACATTTCTATTTGTCTGGATGACATAAGGTGGATGATTTTTCTTATTTCAACTGTTCTGTAGTTGTTTATGCCAGGGGTGGGAACCTTTTTCTGCCAAGGGCTATTTGGATATTTATAACATCATTCACAGGCCATACAAAATTAAATGTTAGCCTGCTATCTTTGGCCAAACATTACTTAACTCACCCCTAACGCCTTGGCAGGGCCAGACCACATGATTTCATGGGCCTTAGACAGCCCACGGGCCAGATGTCCCCCACCCGATTCATACCCTTACTTTGCTCCAAAAATTACTTCTGGCAGCGCGGTGTGAGCTTTCCATTGGTAAGCACTGCTTTCACAACACGTAACCTGGCCGGAGCCACCGCTGCCTCCGGGAGAGGCCTTACCCGCCCTCGCTCTCCGCGTCCGTGAACGTGCCTCCCGAGGCGGCTGTGAAGTAGACGGAGCTGGAGCCAGTGGAGTCGCTCCTCTCGCGGGCAAACGGGAACCTGCGCCGCCGAGCCACTCTCTGGTTCTCCTCCATGTGGGACCTGAAAAGCACGGGGCTTAGGCCCATCCAGCCTCTTCCCTCGCCCTGAGGGAGCCTCTTCCTACCGCACCTCATTACGGGCCAGGAGCAGAGAAAATCCTGGGTCTCGGCCCTGGCCAGGTCGCCCAGTTGGTTAGAGTCATCCCGCACACCATGGTTACGGGTAGTCACTCATGAATGCACGAATAAGTTGAACAAATCAATGTTTTTCTCTCGTTCTCTCTCCCCATCCTCCCCTCTAAAATCAATAAATTAAGAACATATATTTTAAGAAAATCCTGGGTCTCCCCACTCAAGAGAACAAGGGCAGCTCTCTGATAGACCAGGGCAGACCAGGTTAGTCAGAACCAAGCGTTTCAGCTGCTACGACAGATCACAAAGGCCCAAAGCAGCAAGGAACTTGCTGGCAGCAAGGCCAGGTTCCCTGCCAACTAGGTGAGGAGCCGTAGAGCTGGCTTCCTCCTTGGAGACACAGTGAGGGCCAGAGCACAGCTCGGCTGGAAAAGCTGTAGAGGCCGGGGCCAGGCAGGAGAGGAGGCTGGTTACTCACCGGAACTCCCCAACGATCTGCCCCGCAAGCCCCTGCAGGCCGCTCCTCAGCTCCTCCACCTCCCGCCGCAGCGCCACCAGACTGGCCAGCACGAAGTCCAGGCGGTCCAGCACCATCTCCTGCCCTTCTGGTGGGAGGCTGGGCAGCACCGCAGCATCTCCAGCCTCCCCTGGGGCCGCTCGCAGTGGCCTCACTGAAGGAAGGACAGGAGACGTGATGTCCATGGGACACAGTGAAGGCACATGTTCACAGCTGTCTTGTTCACAAGTCCCAAGTAATTATCCAGAAAAAACATCAAGGTCCCGACCCATAAACAAGAGCCCTCTGTTCCAGGACCCTCCCACACCAACCTGTGGCAGGATAACACACCAGGCCAGATATAAATGCTTGCAAGAAAAAATAAATATAAGCACAATAAAATGAGGTATGCCTGCATATAATGCCCAAATATCTGTCAATTCCAACCACACAGCAAAACTAAAATTGAGTTCACTCAAATTCTGATCTTTCACTTCACAGAGAATAGCAAAGAACACAGCTCCTTTCAAGAACTTCTTTTACTGTCATCAGAGAGGGGCAAAGAGGAAAAGGGTAGTTACTGAGAGGAAAGGTACAGTGGGAAAAGCCCATCAAAAAAGTTGGAGGGCGGGAAGTGGGTGGAGGGGGGAAGGAGGGGGAAAGAGGGACATCTATAACACTCTCAACAGTAAAGATTTAATTTCAAAAAAGACATAGGAAAAACAGTATTACCAAGATCTGAATTGAGCTCTAAACTCCAACAGTAAATGCTAGTAAACAGAGAGCTACTACCTAAGGCAATTTTACTGGAAAATGTAAAAACGGAAGAAATGAGGGAGGCAGAACCCACAGTCCAGGAAGCACAAATCCGTTAAATCTAGTAACAGTCAGGGCCAGATTACAATACACATCCAACAGTACTCAAGACTGGAGACAAGACGGTCCCTGGGAACAGAGCCACGTTCTCCCAACCTCAGCAAACCACTACTGCTGAGAAATTACAAAACACAAGGAAAATGAAGGAAAGACAAGCATACAATAGGTTATTATCAGGTTATAAAATGCTGACAAACGTTACAATTTAAAATGATAACTCTTGCCCAGCAGGTGTGGCTCAGGGATTGAGCATCAACCTATGAACCAGGAGGTGACAGTTCAATTCCTGGTCAGGGCACATGCCTGGGTTTCAGGGATCCCTGGTATAGGAGGCAGCTGATCAATGATTTCTTTCTCTTCATTGTTTCTATCTCTCTCCCTTCCTCTCTGAAATCAATAAAAATATATATTTTTAAATGATAATTCTTTGAAGACTCTTCTAAAACTAAATTTTCTAAACCACTTGGCATTTGGTTATCAGAGAAAAACTCATTTCCAATTAACATGGGGTGAGATTCTCTGAAAACTCCACTATTACAGGAACATGAGGTTTGAACCAGCCCTTTGCTCAAATGAGGTAATTTAATATGAAAGTTTTGCAAAACTGAAAGCACTACCCATTTCAGCTGTGGCTGGCTTCCACCCATATTCGCTTCATTGCAAGTAAGCTCACCCGCAGCCCCATGGCATGTGAAGTTCATGGGACTGGGTGACCAGGCCAGTCCTGCCTCTTACTCTGTGACCACCTCGGGAAAATTACACAATCTTTCTTAATCTTGATTTCATCATAAGAAGGATAAAAACACTTGGACTAGGTAGTCTCCAAGATCCCTACATTCTAATATGTAATTTAACACGTAAGCCTCAGGACTTTTAATTCCTACAAGACTTGTTTTTCCTTTTGCTTTCTTTTGAACTCTTCCTCTACTTATTAAACACCTCACCCAACGCTAAGCAAGCGTCTTTAATATATATATGTAACACCACTGTGGCCAAAACCAACAGTGAAAGCTAAACAGCCTTTTCACAATATACT